GAAGTGATTGTAATTTTGAAGTGAAAAGTTGTCATAAGGGTAAAATTGTAACTTCACTGTGCTAATCATTGTTGCCTTAATCTGTGTGCCATTTCTAAAGTGCACAACTAAAAAGGGACGGAGGGAGTAGCATTCTTCTATTTTGAAAGTTATTAGCTTTGAAAGTACAAATTTGATCTAACATAGGAAAACTAAATAAGTAATTCATGTTCATTGGTCAAACTAGTTAATCAAAGTAAATTAATTTATGTTTATATATTAAAATTTTGACTTCAATAAAACACTAAGTAAGGGTACAAATTACAATAGTAATTACCTAATTTTTTAAGAGGCGTGAAAGCTAAAATGTGACAACTAAACAAGAACGGAAGGAGCAGTAAATATTTGGAATTAAAGAGGCCAAAAGAGGTAAATTAAAGGGAACAGAAAGAAATGAAGATTAACATTTAAGTGCAGAGTAATTTGAGTACTACAAATTTTCAGGAGTGTACTCTGACCAATAATAAGTTTGTTTCTTCTTTTAGCCCCTACCTATAGGTTTGAATATTTCTGACAATTGTGTAATAATTAATTACTTTAATTTTTTGGGAAAAATAATAATATTGTGATGTCATTATTATTAAATTTTGTTAATTGGAAAAGGATTGTAGAGAAAAATGGCAGGTCACAATCAATAACTCTTTTGCATATGTGAAACCAGACAAAACTTGGTGTATGTAAACAGTAAATCCACAGTGATGAGCAAGAGCAACAGTGAACAGTTTTCACTAAATTAGGAATAACAGTCACAATTTTTGTACATTTATATCTGCTCCCAATTTAATGTTAAGATGTTTGATTCCGTAAGTAATTGAAATATTTGACTTTACTAGTAGTATAATTACGATTATTAAAGATAGTGATAAAATGGCAAGTAGTGTTTAATTTATTTATATTTTACTTGAATTTTTTAGTTCGAGATTTAAGCAGAAACATAGACATAGTCAGAATTTAAAGGTTATAGATTTGGATTTTAATTATTTTAAGTTACAAGATTTTAATTGTAGTAGGTTGCGTTTTACTCGAAAAAAGGATTTTTCTAAGGTAAATTTGAATTAGTTAAACTTTAACACGGACATGACACAATGGTTGAGACGGAAGAAAACATTTAATTTTAAATTTGAACAACTAAATGGTTTTACACAGACAACAGATACTCAAAAGGATTCTCCCAAAAGATTATTCAGAAAATAGTTTTTTTTCTTTCTATAAATAAGTTTTACGAATTAAAACTGAAATCAAACGCCTGGGGATCCTGAAAAGTTGAATTATAGAGGTTAATGTATAGAAGCTTTACAACTAATCGCAAGTCAATTTAGCACTTTTGAAAAAATTATATTAAAGCATTTGTATAAATATAAAATTAGATACCATGAGAAGTATATATGGTGTTCCAAAATGAGTGGGTAGTTCAACTTTAATAGTGGGACAAAATTGATCGACTAGAAAAGTGGTGGAATGAATGAGATTCTTTTAACTTTAATTAGAAATTTCGAGTTTAAACCTCTGACAGTGCAGGCAATATAATGCTCATTAAAACTGAATCTTGTAATGTACGAATTCTGATTTAATCAAATTTAATTTTAACGTGAATATCGAATACCAAACGGATAATCGAAAACAAAAAGTGGAACAAAATGAGAACAAAAAAGAAAGACATCTATAAAGCAGATGCTCCAAATCTAAAAACCCGGAAGTATAATTTGCCAGAAAGGAAGAATGAAGCAAAGCTATAATTGTCTTCCTCTTTCTCAAGACAATTAAAAAAACATTACCTATATACTAGATATATAAGTATTATATAAAAATATTTTTTATATTATCTATATATTTCAATTATTTATATATATTTTTAGTTTATTTTTTATGTCATTCAATCAGGAATACCATAATCAGTATATGTTGTTGTTGCACAAAAATTGAACTTTTTATTCTTTATCATTTAATTGGTGGGAAAAAAGATTATAATATCCGGATAAATTTTGCAATTATTTTATGTGTGATATTAATTTTGATTCCAAACTGATTCGGGATTGTTGATATATACCACCATATTCTATGTTGGACAATACTACCAGAATTAATACTCACGAGATAAAATAACAACAATAAGATTAAAATCATAATTTTTTTAAACAAAAACAAGATCAAAATCATAAGTAAAATTTATTCCAATTTTAAATAGAAAATTTGTTTTATATTATATCTTGAATATTTTATTTTTAATTTATTAATAAAAATATATTAATTTCATAATTATTTAATCTTCTTATTATAATAATGGCGATATACCTTGCACCCAACCCTAAAAATATTATAATTGGATTAAGATGATTGAGGATGAGGATGTGGGTTGTGTGGTTTTTATGCTTAGTTTATATTATCTTTTTGTTTAATATTTAATTTAATTAATGGTAGATATATGACTGGGTCCAGATGGGACTTGTCTGCCTCATTATTATTACAAACTTTTAAAATATATATATATATATATTTATTGGCTTTTTTGAATTATATTTTTTACAGTCAAGAATTAAAGACTTTTAGTAGGTATAAGATTAGGAGTAAAGTCAATCAAATCGAAAAAGTTTTTACATCAATTTAATGAATTACTAATTTAAAGTAAAAATATTGAATTATACATTAAGCAATTAATAAAAAGTCATACAACACAAGAAATTTGTCCATCCATGACCATAATAGTTTTTTGAAGTATTACTTTCGAAATAGACATGTTATGAATTAAAATCATATAATATAAAAAAAAGTCCCAAAAAATGACATTAATAAAGGGTAATTTGTCAATATTATTTTTTAAAATCTTCCCAAACTCTTCTCATTATTTGAGATTTCAAAATAGCTGAAAATCCATTAAAAGAAATAATATAATGAATATATTTTTTAACTTTGAAAAAAATTCATTCATTTTGAAATTTAGACTATAACAAAAGTGTCAACAATTCATTAATATTTGACAAAAGAAATTTATATTGCAATCAATGTTTGTTTATACTTTCTTTTATTCCAAAATTACAGTTCATTTTTTAAGAAGGATTTCCGAAAACTTCCAAACAAACAAAATAAATAAATATACAAATGTTTTTTTTTTTTTTAAAAAAAAATCAAGTAAGAAGAAATGTGGGGTTAGGTTGGTATGAGTTGTCCTACTGCATTTGATGCTTTATCTGATGCTCCCCAACCCCCCAAAAATAAACGAAAAAAATAATAAAATCTTCATGTCTATATCTGCTACTCTGGAGTCTGGACAATATTTATACACGTTTGATGATGTTTTAAACTTGGAACAATATGCTTGAAATACAATTAATCTCAGTGTCTTACTTAATTAGTTTTGGGTTAAGCAAATGGAGAAGATAATGCTATACTAATACACCCATAATTAAAGAGGGTGCTATCTATTCGCAGTGTAACACCTGTTACCAATTGCTATGATTATGTTATATACTGCAATCATGATGCAAAAAAACAACTTATAGTAATTAATTAAGGAACATGGCATATATACTTTACACTCAGTTTCATATTAAAAACTGAGTGTAATTATAAAAACTCACTTTGATAATCATTAATCATAATTATATTCACTATCTAAGTATCTATTAAGCGTCTCAAGTAATTAATATTTCACTAACTAAACCAGTAAGAATGAAATTAGAAAAAAAAGAGAATAAATATTTTATTATCAATATTACTAACATTGAGAGTAAATAAAGAAAGTATATAAATGAGGCAACTACAACTACGGAGATACAATTTGGCAAAAAGAATACCGTTAACGTTCTCTATCAAATTATGATTTATTTAAACAGTTATCGCTCAAAAAAATGGTTATCAATCTAGTCAAATTTTTACATAAGTACGTAATATTTCAGATAGTATGAGATATACTAAGACATTATAGGTTTATAAGAAAATGTTTGGATCGTCAAACATTTAGTACAACTCTATATGACTTAACCCCCTATTGCTTGCTAGAAATAATGTGGTATGTGATTAATTATCGTACGTAGATTAATTTGTGCGTTTTATTTTTTATATATATAAAACAAAGATGTGGCCAGTTGTATTTTATTTAGCATTTTTCATGCCTATCGTAAAATAATTTCTGGTGGGCACCTAGCTACGTGGAGGATAATGACGACAATCTTTGTATCAATTTTCTAACAAAAAATTTCTTGTCGTAAAGTTTAAGATTGACCTATAGAGAATAAAAAGTAGTGCTGCTAATTAAAATGTGAGTGTGTGTCTAATAAATTACTAAAACATGATATTTATAACCCCATCACCTTCAAAAGCATGCAATAGTTAAGAAAAAAAATTAATTTTTTTTCAAGCCTTCACCACTAAAGTATTTCACAATATTCTTTAATTAAACTCTAGGAGATGAGGGTGAAAGGGGTTTAGAGAATTACACTATAAATTTAAGGTTAGTTTAGTTTTATATCTATATATTTATTTCATATTAAATTTACAAAACTTTATTATTTTTGAATTGTCTAGATGAAAATTATGTCTCCAACGATCACAAAAATATAAGATACTTTAAAAGATAATAACTCCAATGCAACAGAAAAAACTACTCATTACTTTCTTTTTGTTCTCAAATTTTAATGTAGGAAATTTTGATGTCTGATACCTACATTAAAATTTATATTAGTAAGAAACTACTCGTGTTGAATATCTAAATCACGATGTTTGATATCTACATTGAAATTCACGTCTAAAAATTTCATATTAAAAATCAAACTCGAGACTTCTGACTAACTTGTTGGTTACTAATTATTTACTATAACAAGTTAAAATATAACAGTAAATAATATTTTAAAAAATAAATTCTTTTAATTTCCCATCCTATTTTTTTAATTTAATAAAAAACATCTATTTTTAAGAACAATACTTCCAACCCCCACCCCCTCTCCCAACACCTTTATCAAACTCCAGAATCCTTTATTTTTTTTCTCCTATTCAGGTCCTCATCTGCTTCTCTCTCTCTCTAACTCTCTGTTGTTATTTCTTACTGGGAAGAAAACAAGAGTCAATCAGAGAAAAACCTAATGAACCCCACAATAACTCTTACTTCAAGTTAGCCCCCACCTTGTCAAATACTTCTCTGTGTTTTTCTATTATTCTGCAAATTAAAGATTTTATTTTAAAAGAATTTTACTGTGTTTCTCTCTCTTTTTTTTCTCTTTCTTTTTGAGTTTGGGAAGAAGAGAAGAGATGGAGATGGGGTTGAGAAGTTAGAAAACAAATCATCAGACAGAAGAAGGAAAATAAAATAAAAGGCAGATAAAGATACATCAGTTTTCTTGAACCCACCAACAAAATTCTTGATTACCCCACCCACCCCCACATTCCAACCCAGGTCCAGGCCACCACACTCTCTCTCTCTCTCTCTCTCCCTAAAAAAACCCAAAATTATGGAACTCACTGATTTACAAAACAACAATACTAATAGCAATAGTAAACAACAAACTACCACCAATAACACCACCCCTTCTCCACCTCTACACCACCAGCACCAGCATCAGTACCAGCTACTCTCCCAGCACCATCACCACCAGCAGCAGCTTCAACAACAACATGGGAGAGCATCTGTTCCTTTTATGACCTCTATTTCTATCCAGCCTTCGGCACAAGCTCCAATTACTAATTCTGCTAGTCCTACTGCTACTAGTGCTTCTCCTTCTACTTCATCTCCAACTCCACCGCAGCAGCAGCTAGTGGACGCTTCTCTTGCAATTGCCACTAGATCGGACTCCTTAGTTGACCCAAATAAGAAATCTCAGCCTCAGCAGCAGCTGGCAATACAACAAACACAACATGTGCAACAACAGCTACAGCCACCACCGAAGCGACAAACAAAGGATCGGCACACCAAAGTTGACGGGAGAGGGCGGCGCATCCGAATGCCAGCCGCCTGTGCAGCTAGGGTTTTTCAATTGACCAGAGAATTAGGCCATAAGTCCGACGGAGAAACTATCGAATGGCTCTTACAACAAGCCGAGCCAGCCATCATCGCTGCCACTGGCACCGGCACAATCCCAGCCAACTTTTCAACTCTGAACATATCCCTCCGTAGCAGCGGCTCCACTCTCTCAGCTCCTCCTTCTAAGTCAGCTCCTCATTCTTTTCACAGCGCTTTAGCTTTAGCCGCTGCCCATCATACCCCTCATCCTTTTGAAGAAGGATTCTCGCACATGCTAGGTTTTCATCATAATACTCACCTCCTGACGCAAAATCCAATCGCAGACTCAATACCTGGAGGTAGCGGTGGTGGCGATGGTACTGGTGGTGGAGAGGGGGCGGATAATTACCTTCGGAAAAGATACCGAGAGGATTTGTTCAAAGAGGAAGGTTCAAGTAATCAACAAGGAGAAGCTTCTGGAGGATCTAGTTCACCTTCAAATAAGCAATTCAAAGGAAATTCATCGCAATTGCCTAATAAGCCTAATTCCCAAGAAGGTGTAGCTGGACAATCGTCTAATATGCTTCGGCATACTAACATGATGCCAGCCACTGGGTTATGGGCGGTGGCACCACCGCCCACCAGTGGAACTACGGGCAGCCCGTTCTGGATGCTGCCGGTCACTGCTAGTGGGAGCGGACAGACTTTATCCGCTCCCATGGCAAGCACATCAGGAACTGCAACACTGGAGTCTCAAATGTGGCCTTTCCCTATGGGTAGCTCAAACACTATTCAAGCACCATTACATTTCATGCCTAGGTTTAATATCCCACCAAATCTAGAATTTCAAAGTGGGAGAGGAAATCCATTGCAACTAGGCTCAATGCTAATGCAGCAGCAACAACAACCATCTCAACATCTTGGGTTGGGAATGTCTGAAACTAATTTGGGCATGTTAGCCGCTCTTAATGCGTATTCAAGAGGTGGTTTGAATATGAATTCGGATCATCAACAAAGTCACTCATTGGATCATCACCAGCAACAACAGCAGCATCAACAACAACATCAACCTCAACCTACAGATAGCGACGAAGATGATCCAAACAATTCTCAGTAAAATCTGTAATATTATTGGTCAGTCCTTTTTTAATTACTAGTAGTATTTACACACATTAATCAAATGTTTAATTTTTTCATAGTTGAATTTGTTATTATGTGTACTTTGTCATCACAATGGCAATTGAATTGGTTGTGCAGGTTTTAAAATTTTTAAAGTGTGATGGAGTGAAAGTGCTTGAAAGATTCAGTTCATGGAAGACGGACAGAGGTATATGTTAGTTGTCATTTGGTTTTGTCTGTCATTATTACCTTTTATTTTTTGTTTGTTTTGGAGAACCTTTTGCTAGAGAGTTGCGAAGGATTTGAATTGTATTTTGTTAGTTTTGTTCCTAGCTAGGAGTGAAGAGAGAGAGAGAGAGAGAGAGAGAGAGAGAGAGAGAGAGAGAGAGAGAGAGAGAGAGAGAGAGAGAGAGAGAGAGAGAGAGAGAGAGAGAGAGAGAGAGAGAGAGAGAGAGAGAGAGAGAGAGAGAGAGAGAGAGAGAGAGAGAGAGAGAGAGAGAGAGAGAGAGAGAGAGAGAGAGAGAGAGAGAGAGAGAGAGAGAGAGAGAGAGAGAGAGAGAGAGAGAGAGAGAGAGAGAGAGAGAGAGAGAGAGAGAGAGAGAGAGAGAGAGAGAGAGAGAGAGAGAGAGAGAGAGAGAGAGAGAGAGAGAGAGAGAGAGAGAGAGAGAGAGAGAGAGAGAGAGAGAGAGAGAGAGAGAGAGAGAGAGAGAGAGAGAGAGAGAGAGAGAGAGAGAGAGAGAGAGAGAGAGAGAGAGAGAGAGAGAGAGAGAGAGAGAGAGAGAGAGAGAGAGAGAGAGAGAGAGAGAGAGAGAGAGAGAGAGAGAGAGGCATTTGTATAGGAGGATTATATATTTGTGTTTAGTATTTTTCAAAAAAAAACTCGGCTTGCTGTTGTGTGTATCAAAAAAATGCAAAAAAAGAAGAAGAATTATCATAGTATCCAAATATATTACTCCCTCTCTTCTATTTCTATTTTATTTATATTTTATGTGGCTCCCTTTCCTTTTAAGTTGGTCACGAAAAAAATAAATGTGATAAAAGAACATTTTTCTCAAAGTTACTGACAATGGATAGTAAACTGGAAAAGCCCTTTTTCATGGTCTCTTTTTTTTTTCCATGGTGAAAGATGAGGAATTAGCAGCTTTACTTTTTAATTTTTTTCACTCCTTAATTTTATTTTATTTTTGAAAAAAATGGAAACTTTTTCTTGAAGAGGAATGCATAACCAGGAGCATGTTGTTGTATTTATGGTACTAAATACCTTTTTCTGGTTTCAATAATTTCATTTTATTCTTTTACGTGTCCCCTATCTTTACTGAGGAATCCCCATATGACTTCTCTATACACATTTCTGGATAGAAAATTTAAAATATGAAAAATCTAGTCCAAGTATTTTTGGAAACAAACCATATCTCCAGGCTACTGTTTCTTCGATGGAAACTAGAGAGTGACATTGAGGAATCATCTACTTGGCGGGATAAAGATAATAATTTTGAGATATCTCATCGAATTATTTTATTCTCTACTAATATATATGACAGGATATAATAATCTAATGAGAAAAAATTATTGTAAAATTTAACTTGTATATTAACGGATTTTAATGGTACTACATTTTTTATGTTAGTAAATTTTTGTAGAAGTTAAAACTCTTTTGAGAGTGACATTTTGTAATTTGACTTGTACGGTCAATTCATGAAGACTTTCTTGTTTTCATTAGATAATCATTTTCTTGCATTAAATTATTACAGGTGAGGGTAGCTTTGTCATTTTTTTGCACCATTTTTATACTATTTCTAATTGTCTTCACTTAAATTTAAGTAGTGTTTTTTTAAGCATATCTGGCAGCTACATTTTGTCGTTAATTAGTGATTTGTTGGTACTAAGAAATCATTTTTCATGTAACCCCAAATGTCATTATGACATTTTAATACACCTCTGGCAAAAAAGAACAAATATTGATTTCAAGATTTTGTTTTGTAAATTATAGTAGTGGGTCACATGTGACTACCAAGAATTTTATACGGCTCAAAAAATTATCTTAATGTACTTTGGAACTATTTATTTGAATGGTTGACAACCTGCTAAGAAAATAGGATTAGATATATATATCGTCGAACTTTTTTATACTAATATTTTATTATAATAAATAATTGTATTTTTTATTATATTATATGCTTTTTATAATTATATTTTATCATATAAGTTCAAATAAATTTGTAAAATGAGATTTGACTGTAGTATACTATTTGTTAGCATTGGATTCTCTTATGGTGGGTTTGTTATTTATTCGTAATAATTGATGATTCCTATGAACAGAATTCTCAGTCTGGTCCGTTGATGCAATTTTCTTTTAGTTTTTATCGGAAATATTATAAGAAGTTATTTAATAGTATTTAAAATCAACTATAATGTAAACTAGGTCTATGACAAAACTTAGCTTTAATCAATTACTTTACAAGTTTTATTACTTTATAGTAAAAAAAACAAACAGAAACGTGCTTTGGGATGGGAAAACAATTCGGTGAGAATACACAGATTGCACATGCCTGTCTGAAAGGCTGAGCAGTCACTACGCACCACTAAATCATTTTTACCTTTTCTATTCAACCATTCGTAACTCAATGATCTGACTAATTTAAATTTGTAAGATGTTAAGTCTATAAAAAAAAATATTATTTTCAAACCATAGAAGTTGAAAAATAGTTTATGAGGAAAGGCTTACTCATGATATATCAGTCATTATTCAACGATGTCAACACGCTTAATTAGACATTATCCAATACTAAATGCATACATTATATAAAGGTTGAACATTAGACTCGACTGAAGAAAGGGTTGTTCAAAATCATATGTGGAGATCACTCATTCTATTAATCATGTGGGATTTCATTCATCAAATGTATTTTTAATGCTACAATACAATTGGATTAATCGTATTATATCACTTATTATCGTCAAGAAAGAGTAATTGCGCTAGTTTGAAAAGTAATGTTAGTTGAGTTTCCATTATTCCGTGATTTTCGCAACAAAAGACTCAAACTTTTGGACTTGCAATCAATTTATGTATAATTATTAATTATTATATTTCGGCGGGAAAACAAAATGTTACGTTATCCCCATGGTTTTATGTACTATTTTATTATTTTTGGTTGACCACCAATAATATATAGGAATGAGCGATTAACTCACTTAGGTGGTAAATTGAAACTTGTTTGCTTGATATTTGAATTTTGATGATAAAAATTAATATATACGTCCGATTATAATCAGTACAGTTGTTCAAACATCATATCTTTTACTTGTAATCAATTGTACTTGCATGTGGTGAGGCGAATATGACTCCTTTATTTTTAATTAGAAGTCGCTAAAAAGTAGCTCTCCTTATTGATCGTATTTAGTATATGTTCGAATTAATAGACTTTTGAATAATTTGTTTCATGGTCATTTACGTCAAAAGTTGTACTGGTGTTGACCTAAATTGTGTGGCACTCAAGCTTATTGATATCAAAGAAAGAAAATATCTTAGTACTATTACATTGTGGAGGTAACTGTTTTGACGAAACGATTAGAGGACCACAATTTACGACTTTATTTTCTCTCCCCTCTTTGTTTAATTTGTTGTTTGTTTTTGTTTGTCTCACTCTCAGTTTGGTGTTCATTATGATGTTTATTAGGAGTTTTATGGGGAAATCTCATTTTCGATAAATAAAATAATTTCAGGAGTTTTTAATATTAAAATTTCACAATATTTATGATGAGCTGGAGTTTGGATATTGTTTATTAGATGTAGTAGAGAATAATAGTATTTTAATTTTTAGTGTTTTTTTAGTAAGTGGATGAACGGTGTTGCCAAATGGTCACGGATGAAACAGTACTAATAGGACTACCCAACAAAATACAATATATATATATATATGTATATAAATGAGTGAATTGAAAGGTCAAAAACATTTAAAGTATTATAATTTTTTGAGTTTGAAATATCTCCATTTTATTGTTCAGATCGAAAAGTGAACAATTGATAATTAAGTTATGTTTCATAAAGATTTTGTAATGTTCTAATAGGAAATTAAACTAACACTTGATGATTCAGATATAAACTTAAAAAAATTGAGATACTTTAGATATGTTTTTCAAGCTTTTTAACACTATATAAATATATTCTATCTACTCTTTTGAAATTTGTAGTTTGTTATTATTATGGATTTGTTTCTTCACCCACGGTCTTCATGTGCACCCACTAAATGTACCATTTGTTTTTTTTTCGGGGTACATCCTCTTCTCTTATCTTGCATTGATTCTTTGCAGTACATCATCAATCCCTCTTACCTATCAAATATATAACATTTACTTGCTTATAACATAATTTAGAATTCAATATTTTAAATTTTATATTTAGATCTTCAAAAATTATATGAAAAATAATAATATATGTTGCAATCTTTCTCATAGTGATATGATGAAAAAAAATACATCTTAAAATGTAAGTCAAAGTTCATGCAGTTTGATTCACGAAGATGAATGTGACAAGTAAAAATGAACAAAAGAAGTATTTGCTAATTCCTATATATTTATGAGCTTAATAACACACTGTGGAAAGTAAAATTTCCGCAATCTTTGGAGGAATGGAAATCCCTTTTCCAACTGTAAAGACCATAGAGAAATTTTCTAGAAAAAAGTAAAAACAGAAAATTAAAGATAAAAAAAGTGGGAAACTAAAATTTCAAAAGTTTTTTGATACTCCATCAATCCACATCATGACAAAGATATTTCTATTTTATAACTCAAATTTCCACACAGCAAATTTTAAAAGTCTTGTTTTTTATTTTGCCCGCACAAAATTAAATTTATTATTCACATTGTTAGTCTGTTCCACAAGTTTTAACTTGTTACTCACAATTAATAATTTCTGCACTCAAACTAGAAATCAACTTTTTAAGACAATGAAAGTTTAACTTTCTTAGCATACCATGAAAAATTGAAATCTATATATATTAATAAAGCTGAAAATGAATCCGATGATGTGGCATGCCTCATTGGCCTCTATGGAGTACTATTTATTTATTTTCTCATAATTTTGAATTTTTTTCTTATTTTCTTTCTTCAAACCTTTAAAAATGAATTATTTCTATCATTATTATTTGTATTTATTACATTATAAATTATAATGGGTCATTAAAATGGTCAGAATTAAATTGAAATAATGGATCATTAAGCTGCAATATGCCCTTTCGATTGCATAACAGTCTTTAAGTTTTTCACTATTTAATGTCTGTTTAATCTATTGAATCTACAAATCAAAGAATTAATTGTTCTTCTTGAGTAGATATCTTGATATAAGTAGTTCATGAGCCAATATGGAAACT